TTATTGAAACACGAAATTTATTTTAAGTTCGTAAAATAGCTAAGTGCCTATGTTTCATGACGATGTGAAAATGGAGTGTGTAGAGTAAAATCTCGCTTTCCTATAGCTTATTATGTCTGAAAATGACGCGATTTCGTCACAAAACATAAAATTAAAAAAATTCTAATTCGAATTGCGAAAAAATCGCTTCGAGGTGCACTGGCTCTTGTCTAGATGCACCTATATACCAAATTTCGTAGCCATGTGTCTATTAGCTTACGCGCAGCGCGAATGAAAGACACACACACAGACTCTTTGTTTTACTATATGTAGAGATATCATAATTTAACTTTCTTTAAATTAGAAACCAGCTAAAAAAAATCCACCTGCCCAATAAATAACAGTTTTTCATAAAAATAAATTAATAAATTCTTTTTTACATAACAGCTAATTATATCTAGTAAAATATAATCCAACATTTTATGTTATAGATATTTCTATTTATTTTACAAAAAAATCCACCTGCCCAATAAATAACAGTTTTTCATAAAAATAAATTAATAAATTCTTTATTACATTGATATTAATTTAGAAAACCATTTTTTACATAGCAGCTAATTATATCTAGTAAAATATAATCCAACATTTTATGTTATAGATATTTCTATTTATTTTACAAATGATCAACTGGAAATGATACTTTACTTAACCCTTTAACTGTCAAGTTATTTTGATGATTTGGGTACACAAATTGTCAAATTTTTTTATTGCAAAAACCAAATGTTTAGTACAAAATAAAATATAATTAAGTAGTTAAAAATCAATGTTTTGACGTACATGGGTAAAATTTTTAAAGTTTTGTAGCCACTGCATATTTTCTTTGAGGCAGCTGTCACTCAACATGGCAGTTGCAAAGTTCGCTTCTAGTGGAGCATTATTTTCTAAAAATGAAAAAAAATTAACTATTTTCTAAAACATAAATAAATGTAAGTGAATACCTATTAGTAGTTCAGTAATTCAGTCTTATGTGGTACAACTGGAAACACTTTTCCAAGCACAAACCAACTCCACAATCACTACACCAGAATCGTGATTCCTTCCTTATCTTTTCCCCATTTTTATCCTTTTTCGAACAACACACTTTGCACTATCTTGTCGGCTCACGTTTCGCAGGAATAGGAGGAAAATGGGATATAAAATGTCGTTCAGTAAGACGGGCAGGGTTATCTATTGTAGGTGGTTTGCCAACATTCTTTTGTCCAGAAGCTGCATCATCACATTTATGTAAAAGCTCTTCTACAACTTGGATTCGAAATTCTAAAAATGTAATACGTTTCCCAACTACATTTTTATAGAGCAAATATGAGTTCCAGAGTACCTTGTCTAGTAAATGTAAAAGTATCTTTTTATAATATTTTATGTGACGTTTTCGGATTGTTGGATGAAAAGATATTTCCTGATCACAGCAATCTACACCACCCATAGTTAGACCGTAATTAGAAACAATCTTCAGCTTGAGTATATCTCCATTTTTTATTTGTTTTTTATTTTTGAGGCTGACCATGGAAGTATCATGAATACTGCTCATCAAACACACATCCTTCATCTTCGGGTTGAAGAATCTAAATCATCTATATAACGTTTCAAAGAACTGGACGCTATTTTACAACAAAAAGATCCCATGCACCTTGAAACCAAAGCACTAAACTTCTAACCTGTTGAAATTTCAGTAAGTAAAGTGCTGTCATCTATTGAACTGAGCGCACATTAACTTTTCCCGAGATACAGTCGGGTTTGACAAAGAGATGAAGCCGAAATAAACGTCTCCCGATATATATTTCGGTATAACAATACGATGCACTCAAAAAAAAATTACCCCGAGTAATACTCGGGCGTGACATTTTCGAACACTAGTGCTATGCCCGAGATAATCTCGGGCATGACAGTTAAAAGGTTAAAGCTTGTTGCTATTTAAAACATAGAATTGGTAGGAGGTCATGTGTTGGCATCATCAGATTTTTTAAACTTTTGTTTAGAACATTAGTATATTATATTGCTACTGGATTTTGTAACAGCATGATTATTACTTATTAAAATTTATCCTAAAATGGAAAAGGTTGACATGTTTTCGAGTTAATACGGTTCATATAGGTGCATGCATAAAAGAATGCAAATAATAATAAGTTTATGCTTGTAGAAAATACAATATTTTGAAAAGAAACTCGACACAAAAGGCGAATTGGACCAATCTTAAAAAATCAAACATAAAAATGACAAAATAAAATAAAATAACTTAAGAAAAGAAAAAGTAAAAAAAATAAATATAAAATAATAAATATATGAATTTGATTGTCATGCACTATTTATTCAAGGTAAGACAAAATAATTAAATTACATTCATGTTTTTCAAATGTGCAAAGAATAACCCCAAGCAAGCCTGGGTGGCCTCTTTCAAGATTTAATTATTGTCTCTTAATGAATTATATGTATAAGAAAGTCTTAAATTAATACTGCTGCAAGCATTTCTGTGTCTGAATTAAATTTTAAGATATCGTATATTTTGACTTGTGCTTTTAATTTTATAATATATTTGTTTAAAAAATAATTTTTTATAGATTTTTACATAACAGTAGCATTTCTAATCGGTCTCCGTAATCATTTTGTCGATACACATGCATTTTTATTTTCACATTCAGCTTTTGTGCTCATAATGGCATTATTAAAGATAGGGATAGAGCAATGCTTTACAAAATGTAATGGATATAAGCTTAGTTTGTAACTCTGGCTATTCAAATATTATTTTTATAATTATTTTCCATCTATAATTTAATTATTGAGTTGAAATAGTAATAGCAAAGATATAAGGCTGATTTTTGCTGTTTATACTGTAGTAAAGCATATGGTTATTTAATTTTATCTAAACATGTGGAATTGTCAGCCAAAAGAGACATTCTATTATGGAAAGTGCTTTAAGAAAAATTGATTTGAAAATATGTTACTTGTGAAAGAAAACCTCCAAAATATCTGTGTAATAAAAATATCTTTAATCTCTGATTTAATCTTAATTTACATCTGTACTGTGAAGTATAAATAAAACTAACTATTCTTGATAATCTATCTAAATTTTAACATTAACTAATTATGAAATTTTGTATTTTAATATTCAAAGTGTGATCTAACTTTAAATAATGTAATAAAATGTGATAAAAAGGAATTTATAGCACTATTCTCTGTATTGTTCATATTGCTAGTGCATCACATCCTGTCGAGAGTTTTGAAATGAAGTGCCATTATAAAAATGTGCAAGCAATAGGAATAAAAAAATTAGTAACATGAAAATGCTATGCAAAGTTTTAATGGTTTGGTAATAAAACTCTCCTGGAATTCCGGTCTATTAATTATTTTTTTAACTTAAAAGGTATTTTTCGCGCCTTCTTAGCATGGCTTCGTTGTGCAGTGGTCAGCAAATTCGGTGCGTATTCTAGAGGTTTAAGTCCCCGTGAGGGCATTGATAATTTTTCATGCTTCAAAATAACCTAATGTCCCTACAGTGGCACCTGAACTAAAAAAAAGTTGTTGGATGATGATTCTCCACCACCAGGATTCGCCCTTTAAAAGGGGGAGTATAAAAGGTATTTCTTCCACCTTCTTAGCACACCTTCGTGGTGTAATAGTCAGCACACTCAGCGCATATTCGAGAGGGTCGAGGTTACAGTCCCGGCAAGAGCATTGTGCATTTTTCATAAAATTATTCAGTTGACAAATTAGATTTCCTTAAAACTGTCTACGTGTGTTGAAATATATTTGTTTTGATATATCATTTCAACTTAATCCTCTTTTTTCCCTAATTTTAAAATCTTGTCTCTTTCATTTATTTGATTTCTCCCTTTTGCCAGATTGATGCTTATTTTTTTAATTAATTTTGTTTATTTAAATAGCAGTGCTCCCTGTGGCGAAGATTATTTTAGTTTCTTTGAAGATAAAGGATGTTGTATTACATTAGTCTGTCTCAAAGTACTGAGAGTTCTACTGTAAAACAAATATCTGAAGATTGAATTTATCACAGTTCTGCCTGTTGAAATTAAATTTCTGGAGGGGGGTAGTGAATTACTATTCAGTATTGTGTAAACCTCTCAACAGCTGGAATTATCTGATCATTAGACTTGTCCTATTTCAGATGTGTGTATCAACAAAATCTGTAGTGTACTTTATGTGCATTAAGAAATAGTCTACAGCATAATTTCTCAAATTTTTTTAAGTGGGTATCACTTTTATAAATGTTCTGCAGATCGCCTTACTCTTTTGCCTTTCAAAAGCAGTTTTTTTATCGTATGTTTGTACCAGTATATTTTGTATTTTTAGAATACAAGTAATCAAAATTCATTTAATTTCACATTGGTATTAAGTAATTAGGTTAACAGAAGACAATTTATATTTGTTTGAGTAGTAAACTGACTATTAGAGTTTAGATAATTTTTATCTTGTTAACTGAAATTAGAGTAAATATTGGTACCAAAATTAATGAGGTGAATGAGCTTGATGCTAATTCATGCATAATTATTCTACTTGTATGTTTGGATATATGCTGGTAAGAAGTACCACAATGATAGTTCTTTAAATCCCTTTCCCTCCTTTCCCCAAGATCAAGTGCGAAGTCTGTAAGTAAAATACACACTAATAATACATTTCACAAATTGTCAGGTTTAAGAGATATGATAGACAATTACCATGTGTAATTTCCAAACTCTGAGGATTTCAATTGCAGTGGGGTATATGCAGTTAATTTGAATTGGTTTTGGGGGGGGGATCGAGGACTTATTTTCGTCTGTGAATCACATTCAGAAATGGTGGTCTACAGCACTAAGAAACATTATTTAATTAACATCAGAAATGCTTACAGCATTATTACATAGTACTTAGTTTATTATCTGATGCACTTCTGTTCATAATAAAGTATGTTCGAAAAATGTGATTATATTGATATCAAGATGAATAATTGTTAACTATTTCAAAATTTTCAGACAATGGCAGGTGATTTTATTACTAAATCATCTCAAGACTGTAGCAAAGGCATTTATGCTTTATCAAGTAAGTGAATTGCATGTTTTAACACTTATTACTATTATTTCCATTTCATTTTTTGTCATTATAGCTTCACTTCTGTAACATATATGCTTTGAAATTAGTTTACTCTTCAGTTTTTTTGTCTCTCCCTCTCCAAAATAAAGATATTGTTAATTTTAGTTTTTAGTAGTATAAAATCTTTCAATATTTGTCTCAAATTATAGTGTATATATTTTATATTTATTGAAGTAGGGCATGTTAAATTAAAAAATGCATCATGCATGTTATTGAATAGCATTGCTCATAAATTTTGCGAATTACATATTTTGCCAAAGCAGCATATGTTTTCCTCTTTTTTCCCTCTCATCAATAAAAGTTTATTTTATACCTTTCTTCAAGAAAATTAAATTTTGTTTGAAAATATAGCACAAAAAGAATAGTTACTCACAATTCAAAAACCTGGCTCTTTTTTATCTCAAATACCAACACTTTGCCATTACTGTGGTTTTTTTCCATCAGTCAAATGAATTTCAATAATATATAAATTAGCCTTGATTTTCTTGCTTATTTTTCAAATGTAAAAGCTTTTACAGATACATTGCTTTGTAAGTCCAGTGTAATTATGAGGAATTGAGGGAAGTCAGCAATACAAAGCTGTGTCATTCTTTTCTTATTTCCTTTTTTGTAGTGGTCTTCTTGAAATTAAAATTTTCCTAATGATTTCCATGTAAATGTTATCTTTTTAGTTTAGGAACCTTTTTAATTTTCACTGAAAGAAGCAGTATATTTGCCTGTAGAAGTATATAAACTTTATCATAAAATAAACTATGGCAAATAGGAAGTCTGTGGTAGCTCAGTGACCAGTTTCTTGTACTTCCAATCCTTGCACTAGAAAACAAATCCAAATATTGACATAAATGCACTTTTCCCTTGTATTAGTTCAACACTTAAGATCTTTTTAGGTATTATTGTAAAAGATACTACAGTCAGTATTATTTAATATTAAGCCTCTTTTAAGGACACCAAGGCAGCAGTGGTTATCAGCCTCTCTCTAAAAGGTGGGCTCAAGAGACAGTTACAGTGAAACAAACTGATGCTAAGCCCCACATTAATAATTTGGGTATAATAAGGACACACAGCTCCAGGAAAAAATTGTAAATGACATCAAAAATGCTACTGTGGCACCTGACATGCTCCAGATTGTCCAAAGGGGTGCAACTTGATACATCATTTATAGGGCTGCAGCCCACCATTGCAAAAGTCAGTCACATTCATAATGCACAGGCTGAAGTTCAATGATTAATCATATTTTTATCCACTGGTATCATAAAAGACAAATGCTAGAAGTGGGGTGGCAACCAATCAGTACTCTCACCAGAAAGCATCCAAATATCTGCTCTGGGATCATCAGTGCACTTTTTCCTGAGCAGTACCATATCTGTTTTCTACACTGCAGACTTCTTTTTAATCCCTAAGGTCATTAATGAGCACATATACCAAGGCAGCAGTGATGTAATTATCACCTTCACTGTAAGATTTTATCATGAGACAGTGGTTGCATAGTGAATTCTGTCTCGGGACTAACTCATCTGAAATTTGCATGATCTTTTAAAATAAGTGCTTATCTTTTTTCTACCAAAAAATTTTTCTATTTTAATTTTGTTTTTAAAAATTTTTTAAGTATCACAGTATTAAACCACGAGAGTGCACACATATATTAGTCACACAAGCGCATGCACCGGTTCTTGTTTTTTGAAGAAAATGTTGTAATATTCGGAAAAAATGTTACATCTATGTCAATAATAAATTTTATTATCAAATTTTTAATTTCCCCAAATGGTTTTATGAAAGGAAATTTCTTAAAGGAATAGAAAATCTAATTATTTATTAGCATAGGAAAAAAAATAGTACTGTATCGATACTCTTTACTCTGTATCAATTCTTATTTTTCTTTATTAGCACTATAGACACAGAGGAAAATGCAACAACAAATGTGAGCAGCACATTGAAGAAGGTGTTTTTGTGTGTTCCAAATACATATATTTTTCACATTCGGCAGAGCGCATTTTCATTTTTCTGTGCTTTTTTGCTGGACCAACACTGTATTATTTATATGTTTTTTTTCTTCTTCTTCCCCCCCCCAAAAAGTAATTATGTCTTTCTCACTCTCATTTTCAGAATCTATTATCACTGTCTGAATCAAAATCATGTGAATTAAAAATTCATAATCACTTCCATCCTCATTTTCTTCAATAGGTTCTTCGGCAGTTGATACCTCCGATACCTTTTGCAACATTTCTTCGTTGTAAGATGAATAACGTGACATTTTTGCCACTTTCTTCTATAATATCACAAATCAACTATGTAATAAACTGGTGTGAAAAACTTAAGCAACAATGTAAAATAGCAGATAGCCATGAAGTTGCAGAAAAGGAGGTCTGGAGATCAGTACAATGAACACATAAGTCAGTAAAAACGTCATGCATATGCAAATATCAGGAACAAAACGTCAGAGGCGACGTGAGCATACATAAAACGCGTGATGTCGGCGCGTGCAGCTCAACACTAGAATAAAAGGAAGGGCAGAAACACAATTCAACATATTTGCTGCAAGTGCCAGTGAGTCAGTTCGTGAAATATGGCTAGAAGAAATCACCTGGACGACTTCACACGTGCAAGAATGATTGGAGAGCTGGAGGAGGGATGTACTGTCACTAGTGTAGCTGCAGAGTTCGGAATCAACAAAAGTGTCGTTTCACGCGTTTGGAAAGCATTCCAAACCACAGGTACAGCTGTTAGAAAGGTTGGTGGTGGCCGCCCGAGGACGACAACTGCGGGGGATGACCGATATATCGTACTGCAGGCGAAAAGAGGCCAGCAAGCGCCATTGCTCAGCAACAGGGCGACAAGTGTCACAGTTTACTGTGGCCAGGCACCTTCATAAAGGGGGCCTATTCGCCCACCGTCCTGAACGCTGCCTCCCATTGAAAGTTCGCCACCATTTACAGTGGTGCAGAGAGCACAAAAACTGGACAACTGATCAGTGGAGTCGTGTCCTCTTTATGGATGACATTCGGTTCAGTACCAGAAGCGATTCTCAACACGTTTTGATTTGCAGAGAGGTCTGAACCTGGTTTTATCCCAGTAACATCAAGGAAAGACACCGTAACGATGGTCCTGGAGTTCTTGTCTGGGGAGACATTATGCTGAACGGGCGAACTGAGCGCCACGTTTTCGACAGAGGGTCTGTAACCGGGGATCGCTATTGTGAGGAGGTACTCCTTCCCCAGGTGCGTCTGTTCCGAGATGCCCAGACTTAATTTTTATGGATGACAATGCACGGCCACATCGGACTCTTGCTGTTGAGGAGCTACTGGAAAGGGAAGATATCACTTGAATGGATTGGCCAGCAAACTCGCCAGATTTAACCCCTTCGCGCCGACTGTCACGTATACGTGCCAGCAACGAACACATTTATCTACCGGCCGACATGCAGGCGTGCCAGAGCATTGTTGCGTTTACTACCGACTGTCACGTATTTGTGCCAGTACCTTGGAACGTTTTTCAAACTATAATTTCTGCCACAAGATGGCACTGTATGTCCATATGGTTTCAGATACGTGTGCATTAGACCTTCTACTCAAAATGAGAGAAGCATGACTCACATACACGTGTTTTTGATTATATAAACAAACGGGGAACTAAATGTTTCCGAATGGCGTGATTTATGACGTCTCTTTAAATCGCACTTTTATTCGCACGTGGTAGTTGTTTACTGTAAGTAGAAGTTTTATATGCGCTAAAGCGTTGAGTATTTCGGTTCACAGTTCAGTTTTTAGAAAATAATTAGATCTTGTTAGACGTGAATTCTTTCTGTTTTTACCATTTCAATGTCGAAGCGTCGAAAATGTTTAACAGAGCATGAAATAGCAGAAATGATGCAAAATATTTCAGATATTGATTCTGATATTGATTCTGAAAGATTAACTGAAAGACATTTTCCAAAACTTTGTTCAGAAGAGACTGATAAGAAAATGAGACGACAATGCTTCATTTGTTCACATTCCCGGAAAAATCCTCCAAAACGGCAAATGAGTTATTACGAGTTCAAGGAATGTAACGTAGGACTGTGTGTAGATCCCTCAGGGTTGCCACGCTACCTGGAAAACCGGAAAAAGTCAGGGAATTCAGAAATTGACCAAAAAATTCAGGGAAAAGTCGGGAAATTTAAGTGTTTTAGTCAAAATCTGGAAAAGTCAGGGAATTTCATACAACGATCCCGCCAAAAAAAGGCGAGTTTTGCGCCGACGTCGGAAGAGATCACTTTTTTGGCGAATTGTGTATCACGTGAGTGTCATTCGGGCAGCTGGCATGGAGCCAATTTTCGCAGCTCCAATTTGATTGTCTTTTAGAAAGGCAAATCAAGTTTCCCACAACTTTTGGTTTCCAGTAACCTCGAGAATTGCATGTGCAGTGCATGAACTAAAGAAAGTACCTGTCCTCGTATAAAACAAAATGGGTTTAATCCTAGTATACGGTACCATGAAGGTTAGAATCAAAAAATATGTATTGTAAAGAAAGAAAATCTCTCTGCAACAGACGTGGCTCCGTTGCATCATAGAGGGAAACAGCTGTGCGTGCGCGATATATATGTCGCCAAAGCTCGAAACCGGTGTCGAAGTTCGAAGGTCACGTTATCAAGAATTCATAAAATGAATATCGTTTAAAATTTCTTTAAACTCTAATCTAAAGGAAAAGAAAATATCTTTTGGCGCAAGTAAATTAATTCATGGATTAGTTATTTTGAGGGGGGGAAACTACGGAAATCCGTTTTTAAAATTATTGCGAAAAATCCAAGAAAAAACGTTCTTGGAGAAAAAGTTTCTTCTTGGATTTTTCGCAATAATTTAAAAATGGATTTTCGTAGTTTTCTTTTTTGTCAAAAAACGTTTCTTCTTAACACGTGCTTCTCAATTTCCTGTACACATTGCGGAGAGGGAAATTCTGGTCGGCAGATTCCGTTGCCAAATCCCTTGGCAAATTTTCCCTCCGCTTTCTAGCCGCGTAATAGCATTTATGTGTATGGAACCTTTTTCTTCTTTACATAGACATTCTTTGGTTAGAATAATCTCCATGTATGGTACAGCGGGATTTGGCGACATGATGATGAGCAGTAAACGAGTCATTTTGTTCTTGGCGACAGTTTTCAAAATCGTGCAAAGGCTGTACCGTATACTAGGATTTTACCGCAATTTTTTTTTTTTTCTTTTTAATAAATACCTTGTCATTTTGCAGTAAAATAAAAAAAAATAGTAATCAGTCATCTAGGCAAACCATGTAATATAACTATATTCGCTAAAATATCGTTGATTATTCTAATTCAATTTTAAGCAATTATCTTTATTTTTATGTTATTCATATCATTTAATGTTGCTTTTTCCCTCTAAATTTATTTATCATTAGTAAATAATATTTCCAAATTTCAAGAAATTTTCTCTGGCATAATCCTGAAATTAATTCTAGCAGTATGATGACATCACGAAATTTAATGCACATATTTTTTCCTTATGTATGCTGCGAAATAAATATAAAATACCTCAATTTAGTAAAAAGATATCATTAAATAGATTTCTTTCTTTCATTTAGCTGCAGAATGTCTGCAAAAAAAGCCTTATTTTATTCCAGATTGGGAGATTCTAATCTCAATCTTCAGTGGAGAAAACAACTCCTTTTATAATTATATTTGTGTTTTCAAGTGTTAAGGTGCCTTTTAAGAAGACACCTCACACAAATTAAATTTACCTAAAATCTAACCTAACTTTTAGCATTGCGTTGTGATTTATAAGAAACCGGATTAGCCTCATGTTGAACTGGTGATGATCATGAGTAATAATTAAATAAAACGTACAGTTGTTATCCAATGTATATATCTTAAATTTTATGAAGTTTCTTAAGTGGAAAAGTAAACAAAATTATCAAACAAAGTGTACCAAGAATAATTAAGAATAAATGTCCTCTGAGATTTATTGAATAATTAAGTGAATTTGCTACACAGTACAAGTAATACGATAATTAATTTACCTCTTAGCACAGCCAACGTACATTACGCGGATAGACTGGAATTTTCTCGAAACATACCTGGAAAACCTGGAAAAGTCAGGGAATTTCATTCTCCTGTTTGAGTGGCAACCCTGATCCCTGTTTTAAAATTTTTCATACGAAAAGAGAATTTTAAGTAATATATTTAGTTTTCAGATGTATAATGTTAAAAGTCATAAAATGGTGAGTAATTAAAATAAAATGTGTAAAATATGCATTTAAACAAGAAATAAGGTAATTAAAGTATATATATATAAATATCTATAAAGCATAAGCCATTTAAATACTCTATAGAGCATTATTAAACAATGCGTTGATACTTCGGAAATTTCATGGATTTAGGCTTAGTAGCAAAAAAGCCCCCGGCCCTGGAGAGACGCTCGCGGAAGACACTGCCGGCCTCCGCGATAAGCGCGCGTTTTCGCTACCCGACTCGAAGGGGTTAAATCCCATCGAACGTGTGTGGGATGCTTTGGGGAGATGCATTGCAGCACGCTTACATCCTCCAGAGAACACCCAACAACTCAAACAGATGCTGATTGAGGAATGGGCACTCCTACTGCAAGAAATGTTGCACCAGTTGGTTCTGAGTATGCGAAGACGGTGCGAAGCAACCATTGCAGTGAGGGGAGGGCATATCCCATATTAAGGAACATCTGCTTGTTGTTCTTCCTCTTGGGTAGACAATCATGAGTCACGATACTATGCATTCAATAAAGCTTGTTTGTTTTTGTTTGATTCCATACCGCATGCATTGTATTCCTTTTTCAGCTCAGATGCTTTCGTTATCCTTTATGTACATAATACTCTCCTTCATTTCTGCATTTCATGTCTCTCAGTTGATTTCTCATGGTGTTATGGCAAAAAACCCTGCTGCTGCTTAAGTTTTGCATACCAGTGTAGTAACACAAATAGGCTCGCTGTGTCTAAAAGACCCAATCACATCAAAATCAAGACTCTGAATAAAGCCCCAATGAAAAAACTTTGTAAACATAAGAGGTCAACCTAAGACACGACTACGCTGGACCTCCACAAGTTGCGTGAAATATGTGCGCTTTGAGAAAAGTTTGTTTAATCGTGTTGGTCCTTTTTACCCAGCGTGCATGTTTGTGGTTTAATGTAATTAAATATAGTATGTATCAAGCATTTAATGAGAACCAGTTTTACATTGAGGAGAAAAAATGTGATAGTTACATTTTTGGGGAGATGGAGGTTAATAATTCTGATCAAGATTTTATATGCATAGTTATAAATCATGCGGTATAACAATTTACATGAAATTATTATATAGTTTTAAGTGTTAGCATAAATTTGATATGCGATATGTAAAGAAATATGATCTCTGCTAAAGATTGCTATTTTAATAAAGTATAATATATAGGAAAAGAAAATGTGCAAATTTGAAAATATTACAAATTAATAAGTGGGATCGTTATGAATTGAAAACATTTTTATGTTTTACTAAAAACTTTAAAATTTTTAATTCAAAAGTAACTAAGATTCATACATTTTGTTTTAAAAATTATAAGAAAAACAACTTCTTACATTATGTGTTTCTTTATATATGATTTTAACTTCTTTCATTAAGATTTATTTCTGATGCATACATTTTGTTTTGATCTTAGCTCGAGAAGTATTCAGTCTTCTCAACAGTCCACAATATAAGCATGAAGGCTTTACTGTCGGCTGTAGTTTTTTTGAAATTTATAGTGGCAAGGTATGTCTTTTCATTTTAAAATCTTGTACATTTTTCACTGCACTTTTTAATATGAAGATTACTTTTATATAAATGTTTCAAGATACTCTCTGTCTGAGATAATTTCTTCCCTATTAACCCAAGATTAATTGGAAATAAATCTGGAGATTGTAAAAAAAGTGGAATACTAATTTTTTGATTTCTATGGCTTTGTATGATTTTAAAATGTCATTCACTGTTTTTTGTAGTTTTATGCTAAATGTTTTTGTGGGTAATTTTGACATAACACTGTGTTTCTTTAGTTAACCCTTTATCAGTGCTTTTCAAAAAGTCATTGCTTAAACAGAAATCATAGCAGCACAAATAAAAGTTTATTTCGTACTATATTTGCATTTGAAAACTGAGTAGATTGTGTAAGTAAAGTAGCCCTTTTGGTGGATGAGCATAACTTTCATTTCGGTTGCAGATTATAATCTCCATAAATTGGCTCAGATGAATGATTTCTCCCTAAACATGAAAAGAACTCTTTTTCCCAGTAATGTGAAAAATTGTAATGATTCAAAAGCTTTTACTATTTGCTTTGTGATTTCCAAAAAAAGGATCAAGAAAGGGCTTATTTAAATATAACAGTGAAGGAAAGGCTAGGGAAAAAAAAATTTACTGAATTGCAGACATGATAAAATTACCTTTTCTAATATAATTTTAATTCTGAATTATTAAAAGTACATATGTAGTTCCACAGTCTTATTTTATTTACACTAAGGTGCTGCTTAATGTGATCACCTTTTTTTTTAATAGCATTAAATGATGAGGGAGAAATTTTTTTTATTAGTAATGGAATTTAACTAATTTAGTATAAATATAACTAGGAACATATAAATGGGTACTTTCACACCATTTTAATTAGGAAAATGTAAAAGTTAATTTACAACCTGTTCATAATGTTTCTGGAAATTAATTGACGGGTGCTGTACCCCTATACTAGGATATTCCTCTTTAGGAGAGAACTCGCTAATGTAAAATTTTAAATTAGTTAATTTAAAAAAAAAAAAAGTAATCTTACTTTTACTAAATGTCTCTGAATTATATTCTTTTTAGGAGGTGGGTATTCTGAAAATAATAATAATAACTACTGGAAATGAGAAGTTGTCTGATTGCCCTGAAAATTGACAGAGTTGTTGAAAAGTAAGGTTCCCCTCCCCCTCAAAAGAAAAAATGATTGACTGATATTGAACTAAGCTGTATGGGAACTTAATCCCTTACTTGGCAACAATTCTTTATTACTTGTCAATTTTTGTAATCAATTTTGCAACTTTAGTTTTAAAAAATTATTATATATTTTGATCGTATTAAATAAATTGTTGGTCACAATAAGCGATATATTTTCTATGATTTCTAATGTAAACAGGTGGGACTTCAGCAATTTAATGATATCTGAATGATAACACTAACCTTGATTATATAAAATGCTGTCTTCTGTATATTGTATTTGTAAATTCTGCCATGTGTACTTTCTGTACAGAGTTGCCAACTCTGCCGATTTTCGACCGCTCTCCCGCCAACCCGATTTACAATATACAGTCAAAAGTCGTTAATTCGGACACCCATAATCCGGACCTCAAAGCTACAAACTTTCTGCGCATGCGTCGCGTTGGCGCATGCGCGTAAGACCTTTACCGCTGCGAATTTGCGTGTGCGCGTGCGCAAAATACGTTTACGAATGCGCGTTTAATGTATAACGGACGGGATAAGCTAAGCTAAAATTATCTAATTATCTATTTCAGTTAATGTTGCAGATTGCGTTGTTCCTTAATCTTCAAATTGGATCCGGATTATTATTTTTTGCAGACTGTTAGAGCAATTTTATAAAAGTAAGCTTGAACTTTCGATTATGTCAAATAGAATTTCCGATATATATTTACTAATATGTAAAGGATATACAAAGCAAAAGTATCTTTCGGAGTCCATTAAACAAAAAATGGATAAAGGCGTTTGTTTATCTAAACTTTGTTTATCTTTAACGGGGCTGCTGTTTGTTTATCTAAACTTTGTTTATCTTTAACGCTGCTGCGGCAGTGTGCAATGAATTGGAAGTTGATTTATCAGCACTATCCTTATCTTGAGGGCAGATGTTTTTATTTTATTTGGCTTATAATTGCTTACTCAATGTAGTATTTCATCTCAATGTACTCCGCCTTTGATATGATTTAAATCAAATGCCTCGTCATTATAATTCGCTTCCCATAGCGAAGAAAGTGACAGAGTTTATTGAAAATGAATAAATTTCGATTGACAAATTAGTCGGTATTCTCGACACAGCAATTATAGGACTTGAACAGCGGACCTTTGTAACTGAACAAGAAATTATGTCTGTTTATAGAATTAAAGAGAATGTATTATCACATAAAAAACGAAGCAACTGAAACAACTTACATTGAAAGAAATGTTTAATAAAGTAAACCAATAAATATTAAGCTTTTCTTTTGTCAATTTTGATACCCTTTAGATCATAATTGTTCTTTATTTCGTAAATTACGGTTTCATATTTTTACTTTTATAATTTCTGCATGCCATTTTACCAGATTTAAACTGATGATCTATAATCCGGAAAAATCGATAATCCGGAATCGCCGAAGTCCCGACGAGTCCGGATTAACGACTTTTGACTGTATTTCTCCTGACTTTTTCTTATTCTTAATATTTCTCACGATTTTTATGGAACTTGGCTTAATATTTCGTTATATGAACAAAAAAAAGTGATTTTGGACGTCTGAAAGCAATTGAATTTTCTCTAGATTATATCTGAAATAAAACCTTGGGAATCAGATGAGAATTTCTGCTTTGTGAGTGACAGCATACGTATCCAGAAACATTGTTCTCCAGTTCTCCAGTGGGCATCGAGCTCCACTGCGTGTCATCTGGCATATATTAGCCAATGAGCACAAAGCAAGCTCAAGGCCGTTGGCCGTTATTTGGATGTTCTTTAGTTATTTCGTTCATCTTGTCCTGAGTTGTGTGAGTACACGTGCCTTTGGCAAATAGTTTTAGAAATTATCGTCTTTTGTTATGTCTGCGAGAAAGGTGAAATACTCGTGCACGTTTCAAAAATCGTACACAGTTGACTTTCCTTCCATTATTTCTTCAAGGAAATATAATAAATTTGCCATGTGTACCATCTGTCGTTGCGATTTTTCGATTTCGCATGGTGGAAGGGCAGATGTTCTCAAACATGTGAGTACACAAAAACACAAGGACAACATGAGTTGTTTTGAAAAAAACGAAAAATTAAATTTTTCTTCGGAAACAAAAGACCAAAAAGTGATTAACGCAGAATGTCTGTTCTCTGCCTTTTTACTGGAGCACAACCTGCCACTGAATGCATCGGATCACGCTGCAGCTTTATTTAGAAAAATGTTTCCCGATAGTGAAATCACTAAGAAATACTCAAGTGCAAGGACCAAAACACGTGCTATTGTTAAAGAAATGGGTTTGAAAAATAAATCTTCAGTTATTGATTGCATTAAAACAACTCCGTTCTGCCTCTTTCTACGGATAGAAGCAATAATACCAATTCAAAACTGTATCCAATTGTTGTTTCTTTTTTTAATCCAGAGTCTTCAGAAATTGAGTGCAATTTACTTTCTGTCCCCACTTTAGAAGGACATTCGACAGGCTTTAATATAGCACAGCTAATTATTAAAACTTTAAAAGAAAATGCAGTCCCTCTGGATAATTGCTTAGCACTTACTTGGTGCCGATAATGCACCAGTAATGGTAGGCTTTTGAAGACTGGTGTTGCATCAGATTTGCAGATTATGAGGTGCACCTGTCACCTCTTAAATTTAGCTGAAAAAGGGGCAGCTTCTTTACCGTTAAATGTGGATGAACACATTGTTGATATTTATTATTATCTTGAAAGAAGGGAAAATTGAAACAGTTCCAACAGCTGCATAATACTGAAATGAGAAAAATTTTGACACTTGTGTACACGCTGGCTGTCTTTAAAGAAATACTTATCTAGAATCCTCGATCAATGGAACCCACTTCTTGCATTTTTTAAAGAAGAAGTAAATGCTTCGAGAGTTAAGATAAAAGGCTCTATTGAAAGTTATAAAGTACCTAAAGTAAATGGAGATGTAGTTACTATTTCTATTGTTAAAAATAGGTTTGAGAAAAATAAAGTAATTTCTGCATCATTCAGCAATTGAACTGGCAGTTCTCAAAATAATACTGCAAAATATAAGCGTAAAGCTGATAGAAATTTCTCTCAAAATAAAAAAAAAATTGCTCAACACACGAAACATTTTCTGATTACTGTAAGTTTATCTTATGAAGAACGAATATTTATGTTTTTTCTTTGGACCTTAACAAAGCTTTTTGCTTTTTTTTACAATTCATTTTGCCATCGTTCAATGTTCTTAACACAATTCTACAAAGCAGAATTCCATTAATTCATGTTTTGCAATCAGCCCACCAACGGCTGAGCGGTAAAGTCGCTGAACACTGGTAGTTCGGTCCGAGGTTGAATCCCGCGAACGGGCTGGCTGCATGGGCGTTTTCGTGGTTTTCCCCATGTGTAACGTGTATACGAGCTAGTTTCTCTTAGAAAGTCCTCCACGAAGGCATCCCTCCCCTTAGGCAGATAGCCCTCGAGGCTTTGCCATAATCACACACACATGTTTTGCAATCAATGATTTATGATCTGTTTAAAGACATTTTATTTAAAAAGTAAAAGTAGTGGAAGAACATTCAGAAGAAGACAAAAATAAGTTTTATCTTCATGTTAAAAGTTACTTCTGTCGAGTATGTAATTACATACTACATAAATTTCCAGTCAACGATGAAGTGATTTTGCATGCTAAAGTTGCTGATGTTTCTGCTCTAGCAAATGCATCTCTTTCTGATATAAGGTACTTTTTGAACAGATTTCCTGTGTTACTTTGTTTAGTTATGAAAGATGATGATATTGATGTTGCTGCTGATATACTGCAGTCGCAAGTTTGCAGTTTACAATTAGAAAACTTGGATGAAGTTATAAAATCAGCTAGGATTGACACCCAGTGGAGTTTAATTGGAAAATTGAAAGGTGCTGATGGAATTTTAAAATATAGTGAACTCTCTAGAATTATGTTGGCCATCTTGACAGTTCCTCATGGTAATAAGGAGTGTGAGAGGATCTTCAGTGTTGCTGCGAAAACGAGGACTAAATTTAGATCTAATATTAGTGATGACACATTAGAAAAACTTTTATTAGCGAAAGCAGGCCTACGTAGCAATTGCTATGAACAAAATTATGAAGTTTCTTTCTTAAAGAAAGCAAAATCTGCCACTGCCCATAACATTTGTATGAAAACTGATTAAAGTGTCTTTTTTTTTTTTTTTTTTTTTTTTTTTTTTTTTTTTATGATGCAAATAATAAAAATGTTTTTATGTCTAAGGTATTTTTGTTTTGCTTGCATTTAAGACTTAGTAACTATTTAAAGTTAATTCATTATTAAAAACTATATTTTTATCATTTAAAAAGTCTTTTTAACATTGTGAAAAATCTCCTGATTTTTGAATGTCATAGGTTGGCAAGTATGTGTACATGATATGAAGAGCAGCTTTTTGTGTTAAAAGTGTATTTTAAATTACATATTCTTTTAGTATTTTAGAATTGTCTTTTTTGCATATAAATATTGCTTAAATGATCTAATTTTTCTAATTAATGGTTTAATTGAGGTTGATAAAAAGGGAATATAATTTAATAAAATATTTGTGTATATTTTTCTTTTTAATATTTAATTTTAATCTTCTGAGTTGATTGCTATAAATTATTTCATTTAAAAGAAGAAAAAAGAACTTTTGAGGGGTAATTAAAAGTTTCCATGTAAAATCATGTTTATATGCCTTTGTAAACTCTGTTACGTTTCATTGTATAGTTTTAAATAAAGGTCATCCTTATATTTCCATACAAAAATCTTAACTTCCTAGGTCTTTGATTTGCTTAATAATAAAGCAAAACTACGTGTTCTCGAAGATGGAAAACAGCAAGTTCAAATTGTAGGCTTAAGAGAAAAAGAAGTTAACACTGTAGAAAGTGTCCTAGATCTCATTAGTCATGGTAATAGCGTTCGGTGAGTAATATGTTTACTAATATGCTTCTGTTTGACTTTTTTATCATTTTATTCCGTTTTAAAACTCCTTTTCTGAATGAAGCTTACTTTACCAAAATCCTAAGGACCTTGAGTTTTATTTTATGAAAACAAGAGTATTAATTTTTGTAGTCATGTTAGAATTTTAATATTTTTTAAAGAATTTAGATGTTTTGGATATAATTTGAAAGTTTAAATTATGTTTTTTTATTGTAACTTTTATCAGCTGATAGATACTTGTTTAGTTTTAATTCATGTTTGAAGTATTAAAGTTTTCTGTCAAAAATATTTATAGGGTACTTTTGTTTAATTATTACTTATCTCATATTTGTGTGTTTTCTTAACTTTAGAACATCTGGTCAGACATCCGCAAATCAACATTCATCAAGATCACATGCAGTGTTTCAGATCAACTTAAAAAGGTAAAATTAATAAATTTATTTTAATCATCCCACCTATATAAAAGAGTATGTAAATTGGTATACTGTACAAAATGAATCCATGATTCCTGTATTTATGCCATTCCAAATTTTAGGCAAAGCATAGGTGCTTGTGAACTTAGTGCATTTGCAGAATGAAAGCACTTAAAATATATTGATCTGTATTGAAGTCAGCTTAAGAGATAAAAATACGGAACGTAATTGTAAATTCTGAGATTCCTCCTCAAAGATAGTCAAAAGTGAAAAGTGGAATGGAGCTAAGACTCTTCTGGTTTCCCTCATATAATCATCTAAATTAAGCTGTTCTTTTTGTATTGATAGTCAATTTACAGTTCTAAAATTTATTGTGTTTAGATTTTAAAATCTAAACACAATAATAAATAGATCTCTAGTTAAGAAGTCAGAAAATATAACTTCTTCATTTTTTTTTTTTTTTTTTTTTTTTTCAAAAAAAAAGGGGGGGGTAGTAGAGGCATTCTCTCAAATATAAACAGTTTATGTTTTCAATTGCAGTCAAGGCTATTTTGTCCACATTAAACCTTGTAAAATTTTGTCAGACCTTATCTCTCTCTCCGCTTAGTGTGCTTTTGATCATTCTTCTCTTTAAATATATCCCTTTGAAAATAAATAGTGTAATATAGAAAGCTCCATACTTTGTAGTTTTGCATTACAATAAATATATTAATTGTACATGTTTTTCAATCCAGTACAATTCTTATTTTTCTTAGTTTTATTATGTAGCATCATAAGAATTTTTTTTCTTTTTTGTTATGTATGAGTATGTTGTTACAAATATCTTTCGAAAATAAATGGCAATACTCCCCTTAGATCTGATATTTCTTTTTAAAAATCCCTACTTATATTTTTGAATGATTAAGGTGCATATTTCTTTCACTTGCTTCACATTATAAGATACATTTTTACATTGTTAGCCCAAGGGGCATTAGCCCAAAAGGGTTATTAATTTAGTTTGGCATTTAGTGTTGAAAACTTTAAATGTCCGTTTGACTTTTCAAATTGCTGCAACCAAATATTATCGCCCTGTGTTATATTAAAAGAAATTAAATAATGGAGACTCTGCATAAATGTATCTCACATTTTGATAAAAGGTACCTAGAGCCATCAAATTGTGAATAACGTAATCCTCCACCAAATAGCCCACCAGCGGCTGAGCGGTAAAGCCGCTGAACACTGGTAGCTCGGCCCGAGGTTCGAATCCCGCAAACGGGCTGGCTGCATGGGTGTTTTCGTGGTTTTCGCCATGTGTAACATGTATACGAGCCAGTTTCCCTTAGAAAGTCCTCCACGAAGGCATCCCTGCCCTTAGGCAGATAGCCCTAGTGTGCTTTGCTATAATTAAAGACACCACACCTCCACCAAATATGGGCTTCTGGAAGCCCTAATGTGAAATTTGTTTTATTATAGATTTCATATTTCGTAACACTTTTAACAAATTTTTGATTAACAAACTCAATGATTACAACTCATGATTACAAAGCGAGCAATGGCAGCACCGTACAGGGTCCACTTTTATCTCCAGCACACGAGACTGTGTATCAGAAATTCTAAAGATGTGGTTTTTTTTATTTTGTGATATTGCTTTTGAATTGAATTTTATGGTTTATGCCTCTTTGGGCATAGTATAAGTTCTGAAAACTTTCAGTTTTTTTTAATAGTTATTTCATTGTATTTTATGCTAGGTGTGTTAAAGTTATTAAAATGTATTCAATAAACAAAATCAGCCAAAAGTTCTATAACAATAATTATTTTATAGTTCTCAAAAGTATTTAATTTAATTGTTTATATATTTATCCTAAAAGCATATAAATGGAAATTCTCTTTTTCATATTATTTTCCACTTGAAATCATCATCCCAAGCAAAGCTTTTGTTAGCACATCAGAACCTGGAGTATCACAGTATGAAAAATCTGGGCTATAGGGAAGCTTGAATTTGCTCAGCTCTTCAGTTGCATTATCAGTCTTTGCAGTGTAGGGGACTGAGTGTTATCATATCAGAAAAAATATCATTTGAAAGCATCCAAGATCTTTTCATCTTGGTCAACCTTTGCAGTGGATTCAGCATCTCCTTGTAATGTCACTTATTCACTGTAGTTCTTTGTTCCATGAAGTCAATAAAGAGTGGTCCTTCCTGATGAGAAATAGGATGTCAGCATCATCTTTCTCAAACTAATGCAACTTGCCTTAAACTCTGGGTGAAGGAGAACTTGAATGTTACTAGCACTTTGACACTCGTTCAAAATTATGACACTATATATAGTAACCAGTGATTATGTGTGACCAGAAAGTTATCATCTGTAGACACTGCAAAGACATAGCGTATTTTTTGTCCTTAATCAAGGTGGGAGATGCATGCTTTAAGAAATCCCAGTCTTGCTGGATGAGCTAATTCTCTTAATAATTGCATTTATGTACACAATATTGTTTGACTGATGATGATAATTATCCTTTTCTGAAGCACTTGTGAATGATGTGCAGTATTCTCTGTATATTCTTGCCATTCATCAATGAATTTCAGCATCACCTATCCCTTCTATACTTTAAAAAAAAAAAAAAAAACACTACCACTTATTTTTTTCTCTCTATTTTTATGTTTTATCTCCAAGCTTGTCTGCATGGACTGCGAACATAGTTGGTTTATTACCGTCTGCTTAGATTAATGTTCAGCCAGTTTCGGTCTATCATGTGAATTACTCTTGCCAATGTGCCTAACTGGAGGCAGTAATTACAGTAACAGGTCTTATCTATTTTAAAAGAGGGCGAATCGAGAAAATTTAATTTTTGTATTGTCTTTGGCCAATGTCAGCTGCAGGAAAGATAAAACAATGTTATAACAAGTATGTAAAGCCAAATCAAAAGTATATATCACCAGTTCATCATTAAGGGCATCAAGAAAGCAAACTTAAAGATATTTTTTTCAAAAACACCGTTAAGAAAATAAAAGTTACGATTCATTTCTGCACCAACAGTCAGTTGCAGGCGCTCTATGAGTAGGTGCTCTTATAGTAGACTGACAGTAGCTGCATGAGATATCAGAGGGTTTTTTTTTTTTTTTTTTCTTGAAAACTATAAATACTACTTAAATACTTTGGTAGCATTTACTGAAATGCCAGTTACTTCTATCTGCCTTCAGCTCATTGTCATTCAACGCTTCTTACATTTATTTGTGCATGTAATATGCTGTTTCTTTTGTCGTGTTTTGGTCATTTGGAAAAAAAAAATAAATAAAAAATAAATCCATGGGAGACTTTTTTTTTTATTTCATTATTAATATATAAATTATTGGTTAATGTTGAGCACCTTAATTTAATTATTTGCTGAACCCTTTGAGGGCATAAACATTAATTTTTGTTTTGCATTGATTCAGTTATATCATCATACATAAATTTTAAATATTCATAAAAAATTAACTTAGTGATAAAAGTGTGATTACTACTATTAAATCCATTTATTGCAACTTATGATCTTTTTTTTTATTCTTATTATTTACATTTAACAAAATCGATTAGTGAATTTTTGCTTACCTTTCTTGATGAATATCCACAGGAATGCTTGGAATTCCTTTTCATTTTTATCACACAGAAGCTTTATTTACAGCTATGTACAACAATTGTCTGCTTACATTAGAACATTCATCTTTTTTTTTTTTTTTTTTTTTTTTTTTTTGTTTGTTTGTTTGTTGTTGTTGTTGCCACTACATCTATCTCAAAAATCCGCAATGCGGTAAGAAAAATATAACAAGCTAAAAGTAAAAAACACTGCACCCTCTCGTGACCAGCTACATAAACTGTAACATCCTCCCCCTCTATGAACTCCTGGTTCATCAAAGGATTGGATTCTGAAGTTATCTTAAACACTAAATGTTTTTAATGTTCTACAAGTTTAAATGTTCATATAGGCAGTGTTCGCAATTTAAGTTCATTGTATTCAGTTCAAAGAGTTCAAGTCATTTCTAATCGGTACAGGTCAGTTCGACGCGTGGTCAATTCGACACGAGGTCGTTTCGACGCGGGGTCAGTTTGACGCCATACTTTTTTTGCTTTTGTTTGACGCCATACTTTTCGTATTTTTATTTATTTTTAGAATAAGTTTGCATCATCATTCAAATAAATTTGGTGTCATCGTCATTTGATATTTCACACCCCACATTATGGGAATTCATAGATGGTCTCAGGCGTGTTCAAAAATCAATTGATTAATGTTATAAACAATTTGTACGTGGAGATGAATCGCCGCACAAGCGGATTAGGTATCTGCTAGCTAATATGTGAATTAAAGTAATAGTTGAAGATTTTGAAAATCGACAACTAACGGAATACCTGAAAAGTGTGGCGCATAATTTTGCAATGGATTAGTATAATAACAGTTCTGTGATGTAATCTTATTTATGTATAATCTTATTTATCTGTAATTATATTTGTCTGCAATATAATACAACTACTTTGTAACCACATGTTTATTTACCATTTGTGTATTTTGAGTTTTTGATGCTGTTTTGTGAAATAAATAAATTAAAAAACACCCTCCCTCATGTCCTGGGGCCTTGATGTTGGCGAGGGGGCTTCTCACTATTCTGGGACACGAACAAAAATCTAGAACACTTTCACACATATATTTATTTCAAATATGCATGCAAACAATCGTTAATTCAATAAATAAAAATCAGTCATATTACTTATTTATATTACTTCATATTTATTCTAAAAATAAATAAAAATACGAAAACCATATGGCGTCGAACTGCCCCAGCGTCGAAACGTTGGTGTCGAACCGTCAGCGTCGAAACGACCTGCTTCGATTTCTAATGGGTACAATAACTGCACAAGACGACGAAGATGAGTTCCATTAGCTAAACGGACAGTGCAAGCCCTTTTTTTCCCATCTCGTCCTGGATGACACTCCTGTACAACTTCCATCTTCCTTAATAATCTTGGTAATTTTTCTTCATGTACTAGAACTACAGAGCCTTTCAAAAGATCTGTTACGGCATTACCTCTCTGAATTTATTTTACGTTTCTAATTTCAAGTAAGTATTCTCTTTTCCATCTTTTACAAAACTCTTCTAATAACCTTAGCTGGTGTTTATATCGCCTTGTTAAATTTTCTTTAGTTCAAGAATTTTGCCAGATGGTAAGGATGTCAGTCTTCGTCCAACTAGAAAATGAGCTGGCGTCAGCAGTTCTGGTTCTCCAACTTCACTATAAACATACGTCAGTGGACGTGAATTCAATATCGCCTCAATTTCAATTAAAACTGTTTCCAGCTCTTCAAACCCCTCAGGGGCTCACTCTTGTGAGTACGGGTGTAGCAATCCCGAGGTACCCTAGCCCTTCAGGGGATCATCTTGGTGAGATGGGTGTCACGATCCTGGAGCCCCAGTGATCTATCCTCTTTTCCGTCTCCTCTCCTCTTGGCTGGAACTTTTTCCTTCCCTTCTCCCTTGTGGTTTCTCCCTTTGGAGTTTGGGGCTCGTCACGAGAAATTGGAACAGCCCTCGTCTCTACTTTGCAAGTGGCGAGAAAACTACCTACGTGTTTGCCGTGCGTGGAGACCCGTTTCGCTGGAAAGGAGTGTCCTGGTAATTGAGGGGCAAGTTACTGTCTCCAACACACTGCTTTGGCCTCTGCTTCGGCTAAACGGGAGGCATCTTAGTCGTCCTCACGGGCGTCAATCGGCTGGTCACTAGTCCTTGTGTCAGTGGCTTGGGGTCAAGCTCTCGGGAGTACCTGCTTTCGGGAAAGCCGGGCTTCAGTTTGCGTATAGGTCCGGCTAGCGCTAACACAGGAATCCGTGTTTCCGTGGTGGGCAGGGCCGTCGGACCCGAATCTTTTCTTTCTTAAATATGGCTTCTATGTTTCTTCTCAAATCAAATGAAAACGACCAAAGTATCGAAGTAATTGATAAATCTCTTACTAAGAAAATACGTACCGATGCAAATGCCAAAGTAATCACTGATAATCCATGCTTCCTTATAGTCTCAAGTCCCTCTGGCGAAATGCAAAAGATGTCCCCTTTTGTTGTAAGCAAATATATTCATTCTTGCATAGGTGAACCAAAGAACATAAAGCGTCTCCGTTCTGGAGACCTGTTTATAGATACTGTCTCGGCAACCCAATCTGCTTCCCTTTTGTCACGGAAATGTAGCTATAACTGTGTCAGCGCATAAAACTCTGAATTTGTAGAGGTGTGATCTCGGAAATCGACCTTCTGTGTGTTTCAGAAGAAGAGTTCGTTTCCGAGTTAGCTGACCAAAAAGTCTGTTGTGCTAGGCGGATCAAGATGCGTAAGGAAGGTCAGTTGACTGACACAAAACACGTGATCCTGACTTCAAATTGCCTGATCTGCCGAAAAATATTAAGGCTGGATATCTAAATTGCCCCGTAAGGCCTTATATTCCAAAATTTGTTCAGGAGCTTTCAGGACTTCTCCTATCCAGAGCCTGTATGTTGACTTTAATGAACCATCACTTTATCTGAGGCGTGAGCAATTGTCCCTTTTGCAATATTTTAATATTCTATCGCAAACTGAACATCCTAATAAGCTGGGCTTAACTTGATAATGTGTGTAACACTTTATTTGAAACACGTCCATCCTGTGTTCCTCCCTTTGCTTTAAGAGTTCGTCCTGTCATTGAGGAACATTCCCTCTCTGATATGTGCCCCCAAGCAGTACAGAATTTTGAAATCCCACCTTGGGAAAATTCACGGATTCAGCTTCTTGAGGTTTTCAAACATCACGTGAAGGCAAGTACTGACGGTCGTTTACAGACAACTCTTCGCTGAGCACAGGCACAAATATAGCAGTTGTTATCCGATAGACACAGATGGATCAAAGTCAAATGATCATGTCGGGATGGCATTTGTATTTGAAGATTACATAGAGGGCAGATGCCTGCACCATGCTTTCTCAGTCCTAACATCTGAACTAACTGCAATATATTATGGTCTTCTGTACATCTCAAAGCTCTGCCGCAAAAAGTTCATATTTTATACAGACTCGTATAGTGCTCTTAAATCTTTGGAAGCTTTTCCCAACACTCAAAATCCTGTTGTAGTGGATGTTCTCAAAATTCATATAAACTTAAAGATTCAAGGATATGAAATCCTGTACTGCTGGGTTCCCGGGCATACGGGAATAAAGGGAAACGAGCTTGCAGACATCGCAGCAAAATCTGCTGTTGAACTGTCCAGTCGCCTCATCCCTTTTAGAGACATCTGCTGTGTCATCAAGGGGAAGATCCAAAAAAATGGCAGCAAATTTGGGATGTTCAGCTTAACAACAAGTTGAGAAATGTAAAGCCCAGAATCAAGCATTGGGGTTTTGCTGGAAATCGTAAGGAAGAAGTTCTTTTGACTCGCCTCAGAATTGGTCACACTAGAGTGACACATAACTACCTTTTAAAAGATGAGAAGGAGCCTGTTTGTTTAAATTGTGATGTTTGTTTATCTGTCCGTCATATTTTAATTGAGTGTCCATATTTTAATAGTCTTCGTCAGAAACATTTTAATAGCTGTGACTTACCTCTCCACCATTTAATCGGAAGAGAGACTAATTGTAATTTTATTATTTAAAAGAGACTGGCTTTTACTACCTAATTTAATTTGTATTGAGGATTGTGTTTTGGATTTTAATGTGTGCTTTTTACCTTGTTTTTATATGACTGCATCCTCTGGATTTGGTACATTTTGTCCACTTGTTTTTATTTATTTTATTTTAATTTAATCATCTGTAATCATCCCATCCTGTGTTTGGCGCATTTTAATCATCTTTGGTTTTGCGCCAATAAATTCTCACTCACCCCCAGCTCTTCAAATTTAAGTGAAGCCTTCATGAATATTTTCTTCAAACATGCTTACATTAGAACATTCATCATGGTTTTTTTTGTTGCCACTACATCTATCTCAAAAATCCGCAATGCGGTAAGAAAAATATAACAAGCTAAAAGTAAAAAATGCTGCACCCTCTCGTGGCCAACTACATAAACTGTAACACCATTCACTTTTATGATACCATCTCAAGCAGTTAATTATTAACATGTATCATTCTTCCACATTCTAATTCTATCTCTCCTTTTCCACTTATTAAATCAGATGATTTTTATCTAGCAGCATTGGTAAAATAATTCGAATTCTTGTGTATATAAAAAGTTGTAAAGCTAAAACTCTTCTCCCATCTTAAATATGTTCAGTAAGCAGCTATTATTTGATCGAAGTAAAATTTTCTGTAGGAAACCTTTTCAATACTATTGTTTGTCAAAACAGGTAATTCTGAGCTGTAGAAAACTATCAAATAAGAGTCTTCTGTTTTACCATTATTTTAATTAACATTAATCTCTTATTGCTAAGAGTTTTTTAGATTTTGTGTAGAAATGTATTTTGAGCTGTTAATTAACCAGAATGTTATATGGTACAGTGAAATATATTTTGACAATGCTGCTAATAATTAGAAATTTTCAAAAGAAATCAATTTAAATTGTTGAATTTTAATAATATATTTGCACAGGCAGATGATGTGATTTAGTTTTTAAATTATGTTTGTACTCAAATACATTTTTATTTTAGACCCAATGGTCGAGTTCATGGAAAATTTTCTTTAATTGATCTGGCTGGAAATGAACGGGGGGCCGATACGTCTAGCGCTAATCGGCAAACAAGAATGGAAGGTGCTGAAATCAATAAAAGTTTGTTAGCGTTAAAGGTATGTGTTGACTTCAGATTAAAAGATTGTGAATATATGTTTTTAGCCTTCTAATTTTCTTGCTGTATGAGGTATCTCCAAGAGTTGATGCTGTTAAAACTATTTCTGAAATTTTGTAAATTTCCGTATTATTCAGTCATTATCGTAAAATTTCTAAACGCATTCTCGTAAAATTTTCATTGCTCCTTCTCATATATATATATATTTTTTAATGTTGTAGTCCATTCTCTTTCATATGTCTTTTAACTTTTTATTATTATTATTTTGGCTGTGAATAATTAAAGATCTGTAATAGAAAATGCTATTTATTTGTGATGCTTAGAAGCAAAACAAAATATGCTAAAGTATGGTTAGTTGTTAAACTGAATGAAAAACTGCAATGCCATATTTTCACAGCACTTGAGTTATGAATCTGTGAAGTTGATTTTATCTTATGATTAATTTTTTGCATTCCAAATTGGAGGTTCCAAATATTAATATTTTTTCAAAATACGAGACAAAAAGAGAACTTGTATCTTTCTTTGCAAAAATTAAACTGGCTTATCAAAAATGAACCAGGTTAACACAAAACTAAGGCGAAATGCTTATAATTGTGCTCTGATGTCATACTTATCCATTATAGATGCTATGTCACACTATTTTTGAGAACAGTGTGTGTGGATTAATAATATAACAAGCTCTATAATGGCATCTAAAATCTCTTCTTTTTCAAGATATAAAATATCAATCTGGTCAGTTGGATAATGGATAGTTGAGGTTTTATTGTATACTGGTAAGAGCATAAGCTGGAAAAAAAAAAAAAAAAAATTATTTTAGAGAGGACTAGACTAAGGTGGTCTGCAGAACATTCTAATTTTTAAAATTTGTTCTCTCTTGAAAACGTTTGGGGAATGCTGTCTTAATGCAAATGTCATAAATCTATTGATGATCAAAATAATCATTAAAAATATTTTACATGTTGTTATTTTTCAAAGTGGTAAAAATTTATCAAAAAATTATTTCAATTTCCTTTTTGTTTCATTAGGAATGCATCAGAGCATTAGGTAGGAAAGGTGCTCACCTTCCTTTTCGAGCAAGTAAACTAACTCAGGTTTTGAGAGATTCATTTATTGGTGACAATTCTCGGACTTGCATGGTAAGTTTCCATTTCCTGATGTAAGAAAATGTATTGAAATCTATTTTTATGTGCGTAACTTTGTATATGTTAGTTATTTGTTAAGTTGATAAACATCTTTTAATTCATATGGTATTAAAATTTTATTTTCTGTCAATCTGAATTTTATGTGACTTGCTTTTTATATTAGCCTAGAAAAAGCTTGGATTTTCTTGTATATTGGGGTAATAAGGCTTGATTTAAAAATTAAAAAAAAAAAAGTATAATTATGTATGTTGCTCTTTTTTTTTTTTTTTGTGTGTGTGTATGTATGTATGTATCTATTATAAGTTTTTATTTTATTAGTTAGATTTTAAACGAATGGTGATTTTCATAAATTATGCTTGAAAGAAAGAATTAAAAAATTTAATATTAAAAAAATTGAAAACTGCTGGTTAACAAATAAATTCTAATTGAAATTGTGTTCAGCTTTCATTTCTGAATGGGGGATTGTTTTTTGCTTCCTCAGCTTCTGATGTATCAAATAAGTTTTTATAATATAAGAGTGAATAGGTGTGAGAAGAAAATGTTAATGCTTTTGTAATCTAATATTGTCATACTCTGTCCCTTTTGCCTAATTTTCTTTACAAGTAAAATGAGCTTAAAATAATTTTTAAGAGCTACGTATATGCTTCGATGATTTAGTGATGAAGTTTTAATTGTTAAAAACTGCTGAGGAAAATCGTTAATACAATTGCATGTTTAAAAAAAAATCAATTTATTACTGATTTTTCAAACCCATCCAAAACTATAGTATGCTGAAAAGATTAATAATAATTAGTGCCTAAATTTAAAATTTTGTGTGAATTTAAAATAACTGAGCTATATTGAGGTAGGAGATTTTAAATGCTGTTTTATAGTTGTAATATCAACTGTGCTCAAGATAGGAAGAAAATACACTAGCTTGTCACTTTTATATCAGCCCATGAGATAACCAAAAGATATGCAGGAATGAAAATGTAATTCACACTTGTAAAGTTAATATTCATACTGATATGAGAATAGCATGCAAAAGAAGAAAAATATCCATCATTAGATTTACTATCCGAGATTCAACATATTACATCTTAAATTATTAGAAAATCTTAAAATTTTAATTATACATACTATAAACTTTTCAAAATAATATAGAACTGAATTATTTCTTCTCTTGAACTTTCACACCTTTTCAGTTGGACTTTTCAAGTTCATTAAAATGAGAATGTGTGTCACTAGGTACACTATTGAATTTTATGTAATAAGAGTTTCTAAAGCTCTTTATTGCTTTTACAGATGAAGGAAATTTTTAATTAAATCTTCATTATCAAATCATCATTCAATTGGAACTGAATTACAGTACAAAGTTCGTAATCCGGACCTCAAAGCCACAACACAAAACTTTATGCATGCATGTGTTGAAAGAAATGTTTAATAAAATAAACAAATAAATATTAAGCTTCCCCCCCCCTTTTTTTTTTTTTTGTAAAATTTGATACTCTTTAGGTCATGATTGCTTTTTATTTCATATTTTTTATTGTATAATTTCTGCATGCCATCTTACCAGATTTAAATTGATGATCTATAATCTGGAAAAACCCCTAATCCGGAATCGTCGAAGTCCCGACGAGTCTGGATTACAGACTTTGTAATGTATTCGTTTCCTTTGCGTCTGTCTGTTTTTAGTATTTCTATATTTTTATCAATATTCAGAATTTCTCAAAACCTGTCAAGCTGCCTAAAATGATACTCAGTTCTTCATCATCTATTATGTCTATTCTCCAATGATTTTAAGATTTATTTTCTGGAAGGGTGAAAAACCTACTTTCATGAAGCCATTTTCGATACAAACTTCAATAATATCATTCCATGTTGAACAAGATATAAAAGGCATCAGATGTGGACATTTTTACTGGAGCTACATTTTATCTGTAGAGCAGCAAAAACTTTGCTAAGTGGGTAACACTTTGACTAGTTTCATCATAGGAAGCAGAAATTGTCTCAGACACATTCTTCGAGAAGTGGATCATTTTTTTTTTTCCACAGTTAAAAATTTGTGTGGGTCGTCGCCCACATTCATAATGCTAATACATATATATATGTTCATACTTAATGAAAAAAAAAGGGGGGTGAGAGTGTCAATCTATTTTGAAAGTCTGTGCTGAAATAATTGCTGTCCTAAGAACTGCAGACTTTTTTAAATCACTGCACCAACACATTTCTCAGGCAGTTAAACTTCCTAATTCGTATCCTGCTGATTGTCTTGGTATGAATTTTACATTCCTGATAATACCATCTTTATTTTTCAAAATTTGTTTTACTTTTGTTGCGGGTACTTAAAAATATCCTAAGATTTCTTCAATGGACAGTCCATTCATTTTATTCATCCAGACTTTCATTTTGAGTAAAACATAGCTTTGTTTATATAGCCCTTTTAAAGCTAAAAAATAAGTGATTTCTATCCCCAGTAACAAGTAAATTACATGAAGACAAATAATATGCTCTTGATCATTAATCCTTTCTTTGATTTTTTTTAATCCCTTAGATGAAATCTTTAATAAATGTGTGGAGGTGTATATCACAGATCCAGGATAAGAAAATAAATGTTATTTTTAAATGCGAGTAACCATAAGTAAAATAGGTAAAGGTATGAAAAAAGAAGAAAATAACATAGAAGTTTAAGAACTTCAAAACACAACCACATGTAAAGAGAAACCAACATAGAAACTTAATTTCTTTAAAAAAAAAAAAAAATAGGAAAGACTGTCAAGAAAAGCATGAAGTGAAAATCATGAACATACTAAACTGAGAGCTGCTTTTCTAACTATGACATTGAAATAAGAATCATCTTACATTATTTTGCTGTACCTTTTATGCAAGGCATCTGAAAATTGATATGTAATTAGAAGATTACTATACTGAGAAGAGCTATTTTATGAATTTATGAAATGCTTGAAAATATATCCAAAAGCTAGTGAAGCCTGTTAACTGCCATGAACACTTTATTCATCTTAAAATCAGTTTCTTCTGTATTTAAACTCTCAAAATATAAAAGATCTTATTTTAATAGCATATTAAATGCTTTCATTACTATTCATTTAGCTTAATTTAATTTTTCCTGGAAGTATCAAACAGTTAAAGTAAGGAAATACTTGGTTATTTCTAACAAAATAAAATAAAATCTTATAGTAGTGTTTCAGAGTGAAACTGTTATAGCAGAAAAGTGATTACCATATCATTACATTTATTTTTGTTATTGTTAATTGCATTTTTAACTACCCTTTTTAAAATGTCAGAGTACAAGAATTTTTTTTTTTTTTTTAATTGTACTATATTTTTGGTGAATGTCATGCATGGAGTTTGTAATTTTATCAGACTTGCACTAAAATGCAATTGTGATTTTAGATTGCTATGATATCTCCTGGAATGAATTCATGTGAGCATTCTCTGAATACATTACGATATGCTGATAGGTATGAAACTGCTTCATATTTAATTTCATTGTTATTTTTTTGCTTCTCAGTTATAGATTATTTATTCACATTTATTTTTTTATAATAGAGTTAAGGAGCTGGGTGTTGAAAATCCAGAGTTGAAAACAGCAAATGGTGAACAAAATGACGAAAATAATGACTTAGCTCTCCTGTGTTCCTCCAATGTAAGCATCTTATGCTGTTTTTCATTTACTATCTTTAAAGTTAAGAAACATATTACATAAAAGTAATTTAAAGAATAATTTAGTATTTAAACTAATATAGCATTTTATATGACATAGTTTCTGATTTAAGTAAGCACAAAATAAATTTACCCCCTTTTGGTGGAGGGGGATGCAATTTAAATAGTAGTGTAAAGTTTGTCCTGTCTCATAGGACATAAACACTATGAATAGTTAATTTTTAGTGGAAAGTTTGTACCAAATGTATATATTTTTTAAATGAATGTATTTTTTAATTACTTTCTCAAAAAATTTATTTTTTATCTACAAATTATGGAAATCTCTATTTGGAATATAATTTCAAGTTTTGAAGGATTTATTATTAATTTTCTTTTAATTTTATTCACATAAACAAAAAGAAGTAACTATTAATCAGAATTTTGTATAAGATTGAGTGTTTATATATTTGATGATTTTTAACAAATGATAATTATTACAATGACGAAATGATTAACAATGAACAAAATGATTAAGAAAACTGCATAAATAACAAAAAAAGGGGGATTGTTTTAATACTCTGGTGTATAATATGGCCTTTTTTCATCCCCATTAAAGAGTATTTTTCTCTTATTATGTTACCTAAACTTGATACTGTGATACCTCATAATAAGTATCTTTATAGTAAGCAAACTATAGTGACCTAACTATTTATGTTCATTAAGCTAATTTGATTGTAAAATTTTGTTATATACTAGTGGTGAGCATAGGAAACTCAACTATACTTTTGATGTATGGAAAAGAATATTTTTTTATTTTAACATGCACTTTGATTAACCATACTTCCATGTTATACAGTAGAAAATCCAAAAGCTGGATGTCCAATATCCAAAATGATTTAAAATCTGAAACACCAGCAAATCTCTTGTATGTTTTATACTTGCGCATTTGATACATTTTCATAAAACATATCAAAACTCCCAATTCTTAATGTTACTTTGGTACTAAATAAAATACCTCCCCATTGAAGAAACACTTATTTATTAGCATGAATCTCTATGATCAATAATTTGGCTCTGTAGCCACATTTTTGCTTGCATCATTTGCACATTTTTGTTTGCATCTCGAACTAAAACGTTCTACATCATAACATCATACATTGATACTAAGATTATATGTTATTTTTTCAGATCCAGACTGTGAACAATGTATAATAAATATGATTTATATAACCATCCTGGCAAATCATTATCTACTGTTTTTTGTTTTCATCACTGCATAACTGTCAGCAGCAGCAACTTCAGAAATGACTGATGCAGCAATGTCTTACCTTTTTTTACCTTTACCACTTGGTAATGAATTCAGACTTCAGCTTACTAAGCTGTGAAGTGTTGAGTGTGTTGATGAGAAGAAATTTAATAGATCTTTCCTTTCATATTCAGAAAATAGATTTTGTAAATTATACCCATTAGCCAAAAGTTTACATTTAATGCCATTTGAATCGAAAATAACTGATTTGTTATTCAGATAAGCCCAGGTCTGATGCACCAAGCAGCAGAATTTAGAGAAGAACGAAGCAACAAAATTAAGAGATGGCAAAATCCTAAGAATTTTAGGAATGGCAATTTTTTTTTTTTTTTTTTTTTTAATTTAGGGAAACACTTGGCAGCAGAATTTAGGACCCCCACATTTGCCAGGCCCTAAAATATCTGCCGGCCCTAGAAAAGCTTTAAAGTATGTATGGTAAATAGGCATAAGTATAATAAATAACTAATACAGTTCAGGCTTAACTTTGTTCAGCCTCTGCTAAAAGTTGTCAGCAATGTGTAATCGCCAATAGTGTATGGCGAATGTTAGCTAAGCTTTATAATCATAGCTGAAAATCTGAAGGTTTTTCAGTGCAAACAAAAAGCAAAATTTACAATTAATGGAATCAGTGAAGCAATGTGGAGAAAGAATAAACAATGATTATATCACAGAAGTTTGTCACTGCAGGGATGGTGCCCCAATCATCAATCAATTAATAGACAGCGAAATCTGTAGTACAGGTTCGTACGGCTCTTAAAAGTCCTGAATTCCAGCCAAAATTAGTAAAGGGTCCTTAATTTTCCTCATCTGATAGTCCTGTCCATTTTTACAACTGCTGCTTTATATGTCAATTATCATTTTGGTGGAATATTTCCTGGTGATTCATTGACAAATATGTATTTGGTGGATTTTATCGTTTGAATTTGTTCCTACTTGTAATATAAATGATGTCGAGTCCCTATTCTATCAAAACATAAAACATTTTTTAAAGTATTTCTTTTTGTAAAGTGTTCGTAAAATTTACATAAAAACAACTTTTTTCATTTTGAAATATGAAGTTTTTCCAGTTTGTGGAATATTCAGACGTGTATCAGTTTTCTGTGTAAAATTAACATGAAGCTTCTCTTTTCTGTCCCCCTTCCAGAAAAAAAAAATCCTCATGGTATTAACACATAGACATGTTTTACAGAATGTTTTTTTTTAAAGAATTTTTGGAAAAACACTGAAAACAAAATTACTTGAATTTTCTACTTTTGAACCTAGAAGTCTTTCTCTTAACATGTTTATCTTTCTTTTATTTTCTCTTTTCACTAGATTTTAAGCATGAAAAGTTGCAAAAAATGGTTCTAATCTTGTCACAAGGATTTGCATCTGTAGAAAGGAGTTTTTCTGTTACTAGAGAAACTGAAGATTGACAATTTAAAACAATGTTTCTTAAATTGTGGGTCGTAACTTCAAATGGGATCACAAAAATTTCATTTAGGTACATGAATTTAAAGAAATATTAGTCATTATCTCTAATTTATTTTTTATTTATTAATTTGTTCCAAATGACCGTCCCGGGTCATCCACAGATGTTTTACCACCACGAAGGCCCCAAAACGGCAGTCACTTTATTATGGAGGAACCTAATAGGTGGGCCACCATTGCCTCTTATGAGAGGGTGGACAAATACATCCAGTGCTTCTCGAGGATTCGAGCCTGGGCCCTTTGGTATGGCAGTCAGAGCCTAGTTACTAACCAGATTCCCATTTAGGCAACTTATCTTTAATTTCTCATACTACATTTACTAATACTACATTTTTTGTACAGCACTAAATACTACATTTTCTGTACAGCAGAATTACAAAATTGTAAACTGTATATTATATTTATTTATTGAAATAGTATACCACTAAGCTATACTAAGCATATCAAAATTGAGGTACCTCTTTGCAGTTTCAGAAGCCATAAATGCATAGGACTTGACATTCTAAGCTACACAGGTGTGCCGAAAAGAAAGTCGGTGCTGCTGCATATAGTGTAATGAAAGCTCTTTTCAGTTATAGGGCCAGTTGTATCTGTTCCATCACAGCAACTGTGTACATCTTAAGTGTACATTACACACAATACTACATTTTACTGTTTTGCTTGATTAAGATTGGTATTTATTTAAATAATTATTATGAGATGTTATTTATTTTTAAGGATAGAAGTAATTTTAACCATGGATAAGTGGTTGAACTTAAGTGAGAAAGGTAATTATGCAGAATGCAATAGAGTCTTTTCAAGCAGTATCTAAAGAAAATATGATGACACATTTTTCCCTTTTGATTTTACTTTCAACAACCATGGAACTAATGAACAACTTCTTTGTTTGATATGAAATAACATTTTGGCTTTGTTGAACATGAAACCATCTAAATTTAAAATGCATCTTGAATCCAAACATCCTCTATACATCAATGAACCAAAAAAATATTTTGAATGGCTGTTAAATCTTTAAATAAAGGAAAACAATATTTTGAAAAATTTATAACTGTGACTGAAAAATATTTACTTACTGATTTCTTAAAATAAAAAACCATACACCATTGGAGAAGCTCTTATATTACCTACTGCTATTAAAATGGCAGAAATATGTCAAAAAAATTTGAAAAATTCCTTTACCAAACAACATTGTGTCACCAATAAAATCTCTTAAATCAGCAGCGACTGATTGAAACAGTTTATTACTTGACAATAAGGAAAGACAAAATTAACAATTCAGTTGGATGAAGCAACTGACATTTCATAAATAACTCACTTGTTAATATATATCAGATACATTTATCAGAAAAACATCGAAAGATAATTGTTATTTTGTAGTGTGGAAGAATACAGAAAAGGGGAAAACATATATAGTAGAGTTTGTGAATGTTTTTAAACTGAATTTTTAGAATGAAAAAATAGCATTGGATTGTGCGCAAATGGTTCAAAAGCAATGACATAAAAAAGTATTGTTTTCTTTTAAGTTGCTGATAACACGGACAAAAATTTGAACTTTATTAATTTTTAATTCATTTTTTACCCTTTCGACCCAATTTTTATGTGATTAAAATTCAGCTGTGAAAAGTAGTTTAATTTAATGTTGACATACTAAAAGAAGTGTAATTTGAATTTAAAGTTTTTAACTTTTCCCCATTTCCTGGAAATCTCCTGGGACAATATATCCGAGTCGTATTGTCAACTGGGGCTGTTTGTCCCAATCGTATAGGATATTGTTGTAATAAACTTGCACTGCATGTGAATAAAGTTTAATGAAATGTACCAAATATTTTATTCTTACAGTACAAGTTAAGTATAATATGGCATAAAGAAATCTTTACAAAGTGCAACCTGGCACATTTTGCAAAAATAGGCCAGGTTTCTTTAGTCATATATTTATTCCTTAATTCCTTGAAAACGCATTTAAAAGTTGGTTTTATGTACCCAATAGGGAATGAAATCTAATCTCTGGGACGTAAGTGTCCATGAGGACCGAAAGGGTTAAACACATTTATAAAAAATTATTCGAAAGTTCTTCTCTAACAATAAATAGGCCTTTGTTTTGCTACTTAGTGATACACTACAACTGGAGCATTTCTAACAAGTGTCAAACAATAATTAGCAAGCATGAAAAGGCTCTATTTTACCTGATACCTGTTCTTTATCTCTGCAATGTACTGGTGAAAGCACTC